AAACCTTTTAGAACTCATAGATTTTGATTCAACTTAAATTTTGTGAGAATCACAAATTTTTTCATTTTTCTCCAACGAAGAAGATATCGAATTGCAAAGTTCGCTAAAATGCAGAAAGTACGTTCTTTCAACTTAACTTTTCTCATATTTTTAAAGTAAAAATGGAAAAAGTATCAAGAAAATTTGGAATTATTTTTCATTTTATTTGGATTAATCGAATTTTATTTGAATAATTCTACTTTCTCATAATTTATTAACAAAAATCACAAAATTAACTTATTTTACAGACCAATTTTGAAAAAACATTTTATCTATTATTTTAATTTTTTTTCACCACTTTAATCATTAAAAAATAATTAATCGATCAATTCAGAATAAGAACCAACAATTTATTTTACACTTTTAACTATTTTTCTATCATTTTAAAAATATTTTCTAAATCCTGAAATAGTGACAGTTTTCTGTACCTGCTCCACTTTAAACTCATATTTTAAGAGAAATAATAAATATTTCAACATTATTCTTTTTATTTCGTCCTCCAGGTATCATACAGAATCATTTCTGAAAGTATCAATTTGTTTAAAAATTACTCCGCAACGACTTTATTCGAAATATAATGCGGAATGTCTCATTGACAAAATATTTTTATTTATTTCATTTTTTTATTTTCAATACCTATTAATTGAAATTTATTAGTCTGTTGTAGTAAAAGAAATTCTTTGAAAAAGCTTTGAATTTTAGTCCTACATTTTAGTGGCAGTCCTATTAATATTAAAAATTTATTTACAGATTTTCAATCGCATTTTCGCATGTACAGGCCGACGATGGAAGCTGTGAGTGAGATCCTGGGACCTGATATATATGCTCATTCTCCATATTCGAGCATTCCAGTGACCAAAAAGTTATTAATAACTATGTGGACACTTGGAAATCAAGAAGTGTTTCGGTATGTATCATTCAAAATTACACCATACATTTTTTTTGTTTTTTTGGCCAAGAAACTACACTAGTGTATTCCCACTTATTTTTTCGCCTTGAATCCGAATCCCAAGTCAAAATTGTCAAATTGGCTTTTATTTTTTAAATATATTCAAAAAACGGTTCAAAGATACGAATTAAAAAAAAAAAAATTTAACACTACACTAGTGTTTTTTTCCCCGCTGAATCCGAATACAAAGTCAGAATTTTTAGGTTGGCTAAAAATTTTGAAATAAACTTTTAAAAAAATGAAAAAACTGTTGGAAAACACGAATTAAAGTCAAAAGAAGAACATTTTTGTCCGAGACACGATACTAGTATATTTTAATGTATTTTTTCCGCTGAATCAGAAATTGGAGTCAGAATTGGCATAATGGTTTAATTTTTAAAAATAAACTCAAAAAACCGTTTTTTTTGGTAACTTTTTGTGTTTATTTTAAAAGTTTAAGCTAATTTAGCAATTCCGACTTTGGATTCAGATTTGGGAGGAAAAATTACATAAAAATACACTAGTATAGTATAAAAATTTTTTTCTGGTTTTTTGTGTTTCTCAGCAGTTTTTTGAGTTCATCTCAAAATTATTAGCTAATCTGACAATTCTGACTTTAGATTCGGATTTAGTGGCAAAAATACATGAAAATAGACTAGTACAGTGACTTGAAATATTTTTCTTCATTTTTGATTTTAATTCGTGTTTTTGATCATTTTTTTTAGTATATCTCAAAAATAAGTGCCAATCTGATAATTATGTGACTTCGGATTCAGCGGAAAGAAATACATGGGAATACATTAGTGTAGTTTCTCGGCCAAAACAAAATTAGTTTTTTGTCTGTGCTATTAGTACTTATTAAAATTTGTTGCTAAAAATTGAATTGTTTTATAGATCAGTATCTGAAAGGTTGCCCTGGTTAAAATAACGGACTAATTTCGGACTAATCCGCGATTAGTCCGAAACAATGCGGTTATGGTCAGGTTTTTGTCACCTGGAATTGGTCCGGTTAAGTCCGAAAATAATACTGTTTGTCAATACCTAGGGAATCCAAATATAGTCTGGTGTAGTCCGGAGTTAGTCCGATAGTACGCAACTAGTGAACCAGGAATTAGTCCGCTCAAATCCGGAACTAATCAGTTATTTACTACTAGTAAATCCGGAAAAAATCCGAAATAATCCGATTTCTGGTCAGGTTTTTGTCATCCAAACTAACTCCGGTTAAAACTGAAATCAATATGATTTGATTATAAGTAGTGAATCGGGAATCACTTTGCTCGAATCCGAAGATAATCCGATTACACGCCATAAATAAATCACGAATCGGTCCGGTCGAATCCGAAACTAAACAGTTATTTGATTCTAGTAAATCCAGAAAAAATCCGAAATAATCCGAATTATGGTCAAGTTTTTGTCATCCGAAATAACTCCGGTTAAAACTGAAATTAATTTGATTTGATTATAAGTAGTGAATCGGGAATCACTTTGCTCGAATCCGAAGATAATCCGATTACACGCCATAAATAAATCACGAATCGGTCCGGTCGAATCCGAAACTAATCAGTTATTTGATTCTAGTAAATCCGGAAAAAATCCGAAATAATCCGAATTATGGTCAAGTTTTTGTCATCCGAAATAACTCCGGTTAAAACTGAAATCAATATGATTTAATTATAAGCAGTGAATCGGGAATCACTTTGCCCGAATCCGAAGATAATCCGATTGTATGCCATAATTAAATCACAAATCAGTCCGGTCGAATCCGGAACTAATCAGTTATTTGATTCTAGTAAATCCTGAAAAATCCGAAATAATCCGAATTATGGTCACGTTTTTGTCATCCGAAATAACTCCGGTTAAAACTGAAATTAATTTGATTTGATTATAAGTAGTAAATCGGGAATCACTTTGCTCGAATCCGAAGATAATCCGATTACACGCCATAATTAAATCACGAATCGGTCCGGTCGAATCCGGAACTAATCAGTTATTTCTCTATAGTAAATCCGAAACAATTCCGAAATGATTAGATTAATGGTTAGGTCTTCGTCATACGCAATAAGTCCGGTTAAAACTGAAATCAATGTGGTTTAATTATAAGTAGTGTTTCCGGAGTCAGTTTGACCCAATCCGGAATTAGTCCGATTGTATGCCATAATTAAATCACGAATCGGTCCGGTCGAATCCGAAACTAATCAGTTATTTAATTCTAGTAAATCCGGAAAAAATCCGAAATAATCCGAATTATGGTCACGTTTTTGTCATCCGAAATAACTCCGGTTAAAACTGAAATTAATTTGATTTGATTATAAGTAGTGAATCGGCAATCACTTTGCTCGAATCCGAAGATAATCCGATTACACGCCATAATTAAATCACGAATCGGTCCGGTCGAATCCGGAACTAATCACTTATTTCTTTATAGTAAATCCGAAACAATTCCGAAATGATCCAATTAATGGTTAGGTCTTCGTCATACGCAATAAGTCCGGTTAAAACTGAAATCAATGTGGTTTAATTATAAGTAGTGTTTCCGGAATCAGTTTGACCCAATCCGGAATTAGTCCGATTGTATGCCATAATTAAATCACGAATCGGTCCGGTCGAATCCGGAACTAATCAGTTATTTGATTCTAGTAAATCCGGAAAAAATCCGAAATAATCCGAATTATGGTCACGTTTTTGTGATCCGAAATAACTCCGGTTAAAACTGAAATTAATTTGATTTAATTATAAGTAGTGAATCGGGAATTACTTTGCTCGAATCCGAAGATAATCCGATTACACGCCATAATTAAATCACGAATCGGTCCGGTCGAATCCGAAACTAATCAGTTATTTCTTTATAGTAAATCCGAAACAATTCCGAAATGATCCGATTAATGGTTAGGTCTTCGTCATACGCAATAAGTCCGGTTAAAACTGAAATCAATGTGGTTTAATTATAAGTAGTGTTTCCGGAATCAGTTTGTCCCAATCTGGAATTTTTCCGATTCTGTACATTTATTAAATAAGGGATTACTCCGATCAAATCCGGAAATAATCTGTTTTTTTACTATTATATCTGAAATTATTCCGAAATAATCCGCTTTGTGGTAATAGTTGAGGTCATCTGGAATAAATCCGGTTAAAACTGAAGTCAAAATGGTTAAATTATTTGTGGTGAATCTGTAATCAGTTTGGCCCATTTTGGAAATAGTCCGGTTAAGTACGGAAATAATCGGATCTTTTATTGTTCAATCCAGAAATAATGCAAAATAATTCATTTATAATCAAATTTATGTTACTTGGAATAAGTTTGGTTACAACTGAAATCAATATGATAATAATAATTCGGTTTGTTTTACTGTAAGTTAATCCAGAAATAGTTTGAATATATTATTAATATTATATAATATAAAATTGCAAAATTAAATTCGAAAATTTGTGGAATGGTCCACAACTGTCCGAAATTAATTCTGATTATTAGGCGAAATCAAACGAGAATTAATCCTTAATAATTCTCAACTAGTTTAATCTTTGCAAATTAGTGAATTAGAAATTAGTCCGCAATTATTTTATAAACAAAAGAAAATGTATTTAGAAGATTAATACAATTTTATTTATTTTAATGATGACAAGAAAAAAGTAAATTATAAGGTCTAATAAGGTATGGAAAAATCGCATTATTATAAAAACATATTAAAGTAAGAATACCGTTTCTTAATACTGATATTGTTGAAAGTATTAAAATTATATTGAAACTATTAGTTAAATGAATTACTTACGATTTCGTACGCAAGTATCAATCTAAAATAACGATATATTTACAGTGTACTAAATGAACCTATTTAACTTAATATTGATAAAATATCAAATGTTAAACATAAAATATCATTTGTCAATATATATCGTAGACAATAAACATATTATATATTAAGAAACAAAAATCAAATATAAATATTTACCAATACATGTATGTTGTTTAAATTGAAAAATAAAATACTGAAACAATAATACTTATCATCGAAACAACTAATGTAATGATTTGGCAAAGTTACGTTAGTTTTCATCACTATCCGACAGCTCTTTTGGCTCTGGAGAATCAACTTTTTCCTCTAAGCTTTCAATATCAACCTCTTTATCCTCGTCACTTTCAGCATCCGATAATTTTTTACTATCCCAATCACTCGAATAGTCATCTTTCTCTAACTTTTCGGAACTGCGTTCCTGAATCTCATCTTCATTAACTTCTGATTCTTTATTATCGCTTTTCGATTTTTCAACAGTACTGTTCGGGTTTTTTAATTTCGACCCATCTTTTGTCACGTTTTTAGAAGAATTCTTCTTTTGTTTCTTGATTTCAGTCTTAGAGTTTTGATCTGTTTGTTTTCTTTTAACACCTTTCGCTTTTTTCGGTGTACGATTAGTACGATTAAGATCGTTGATTTTGTGGTTGAGGTAATTCGTAACACTCAAGAGCTCCTTTACAATATCTGAGTCACTCATATTTCTGACTTCCTTCATCCAATATTTACTAATAGCTGAGAAAGTAACAAATTATTTATAAAAAAATTTTAACTAATTTTAATTAAAAAAATTAATCAATTAAATATTATTAAAATTATTATAATTATTAAAACTTTTTAAGAATATTTATTTTTAGAAGTGGTCTTATTTTTAAATAAAAAATTGTTTTTAAAATATTTGGTATTAAAAAGAGAAACGCGAATTTTTTAAAATTAATTTAACTGAAGTAAAATTACCTTTTAAAGCTTCAATACCGATAACATGAAGAGCAGGTTTGTCTGTTTGCCCTTTCACTGTAGAAGCTTTAAGTACATCATCACCAAAAATCTCAGATGCCATTCGTTTTATAAACTTTTGGGTGTTTATCTTATGTGAATATCTAATCGTATCATATTTATCTCGGTCCACCCAGACACCAAACCCAGCATGAATCTATAAAAAAATTTATTTTAAGCTACTTAAAATTAAAATCTAAACATTATTTGAAATATTAAAAATACCTGGTTTGCTGATTCATTTATTTCCCCCACGGACAATTCTTCGCCAGTGTAAATCTTTCTTTCCAATTCTATTTGCGCTGAATTAGAAATATTGTTAACAGTTGCTGTAAATAATGTATTTAAAGTATAAATTTTTTAGATTATCTTATTTGTTAAAATAAAACACAGATATTCTGTTATAAAAAAAATTTGTAATTCCGAGTTTTAAATTAAATCATTTGAAAATTACTACATGAGTAGTAATTGACTATACATTTAGATTTAGACAAAGATTTGACGACTTTTAAATTGTCCATTAAAAGGAAACCACAAAAAACTTACTTTGCACTTGTGTGAAACAGTCAACAACTTTCTTCTGCATTTTTATATTTGCCTTCAGTAAGGAGCGATTTTCCGTTTCTAAAACAATTATTCTACGTTTCAATTGACGTATCGTTGCTTTATCATCGATTTCTAGCTCATCCTATGAAGAATAAAATAAAAATTTTGAAAAATGAGTAACATACAATGATAAATTTACATTCAAAATACCTCATCATCAAATGCTGCATTGTCAGTGTTGGTATTTCTATAATTTTCTCCACCAAATTCTTGGCCATTGAAAACTTGTTCCTCCTTATAAGAATCCGGATTTAAATCATCTTCTAAACCTTTTTTCGTGAATGTTGACGAAGAGGAGTCGATAGAATCAGAATTCTTTTCAACGTCAGGTGCCTTCAGGAATGAAATTAAAAATTAAATACAGTCAACCATCCCAGTAAACCCTCTCTCAGTAAAGCCGTTTCCCCAGTTTGTCGAGCGAGCTTTTCCCCTACTACTATTGTCCCTCGAATTTTATATACTTTGATCTTAGTAGTGTCTGTGTAATATGTACTAGCGAGTCTAAAGTGGGGGAATCCCAGTTTTTGGAAAAAAAAATTTGTTACTCAAAAATACACTAACATGAAAATAAGAACAGAAAAACATAAAAACTGTTTTAATATATAAAAGATAAGAGTGCTATGAAAAATGCTAAGACTATGGAATTCAAATTATTCATACTTTAAGAGATATAAATAAAAAATTAAACTGGGTATGTGTTTACTTTACCATACGACTAATAAATAATTTTAAAATAAGTTTTTTAATATTTATCTTATACATATATAATAGAAAACATTTATTAAGAGAATTTCTTACATTTTTTCCCAAATTTATTACTGAAAAAAAATTGTAGGTATTTCAAGAAGTTTAAATTAAATAAAATAATATTCAACTGACTTGATGTTTGCATTACCATAAGTGTTTACAGATAATGGCTTCTATAAGAAACGAATGGAATTAAAATTTTTTATTTTTTAATTGATATTTTTTATTCTTATTAAAGAAGTTTGAAAAAAAATTGTTTAAGGAATCCTAAAATTTTTAAACCCTCCATGTAATATACACTATAATTACCTTAATTTGAATATTCTCCTTGATTTTTGGTTTCCCTTTAACTGCTGTACCAGTTTCTTCAGGTTTACTTGTTTTGCAATTTTCTTTCTCTTCAGATGCGTTCTTAATTTCTTTTCTTTCTTTGTCATTATTATTAACCTATAAATTTTTATACTTATAAAATTAAGCAAAACAATACAGAAAAAACTTCATTTAGAAAAACAATAAAAGTTTCACTGGAAGATCGATTTGTTTTACTGTAAAATAACTCCATTAAAAAAAAGCTTTCTTCCGTAAAATAACAAATGTAAAAAGATAAAACACTTTTTAAAAATAATTATTTTAGTTCGGAAATAGTATTAATTGTTTTAAAGTTTTACCTTGTCTTGAACATGAAGCAAGACTTTTGGATAGAGTTTAACTACATCTACCGCAGTTTCTGCTTTTTTGTCAAAAATTTCCTTTTTTATTTTTCCTTTATTTTCCTTCTTACTTTCACTGCTGATAATGCCCTGTTAAATTTCAATAATTAATAAATTATAAAAAAATATATATTTATTTAATAAATATAAATTATTAGTCTTTAAATATAAAAATTATGACAAATTTTTAAAAAATATCTATTATTACATTAAAGTAAATAAATAGTAAAATAATATTTTACTTTAAATGACTCAGTCGTGGCAGCTGATGATTAATTTTTTTGTTTTTCCTATGTAAAATGCATAAAAACTTTTATTGTGAGTACCTTATCTTATAGATCAATTGGCTTTTGAAGTATAAGAATTGGCTCCTTTTTATATTACAACTGTATATTTTTGCTTGTTTAACATGATTATTACAATACAATACATTTAATATCTTATCAACATCTTAATACTTACTTTGTGTTTTTTTTCTTCCATTGCTTTTAACTTATTTTCCAATAATTTTTGTTTTTTTTCTTTGTCGGCATTATTCTACGAAATTAATACAATTTATCAAAATTATCTTTTAAGAGGTTACATGACCATGAACGCAAGAAAATTGACCGGTTTGAAAGGAACTTATTTTGACGAAACTATTATAGATAAAAATTAATTCTTAACTCTTTTTTTAAATTTCACGAGTAAAGCAATCATATGTCACTCTATAGGGGATTTATTTAAGAAGTTGTGTTTCAATTTTCATAAGTCAATCGGTTGAAAATTTTTTGAGACCTCAGGCCCACCGTTGCGAAAAGCAAGATAATTTTTGGTAATTTTTGTGCGACCATGCTTGTGACTATCAACATATCTCTGTTAATTCAAAACATTTTTTCAAACCGTAAAAATTTTTTGCGTTCAGGGTGGTATAACTCTTAAAGAAAAGATGTATATAATTTAAAATATTATAAAATCAGTTTTATAATTATTTCAAGACTTACATTTACCTGAGATTTTTTTTGCTTTGTAACTACACTTTCATCAGCAGAATATTCAGACGCAGTTTCCAAAAGATTGGAAGGAATATATTTACATCGTGTGTCTGATAATTTCTTGTTCAGTTCTTCCAAAGACTCTAATTTTCAACATTAAAGTACATAATGTTTAAAAAAATTATATAATAAAATGGCAAATAGAGGGGACACATTAGATCATTTTTAAAGAATTCTTTTATACTTGTATTCCACAATTAAATTGTATTCCACATTAAAAAGTATCATGCAGAAATATATTTACACTAAAAGACAAGATTTATTACCGTCATCTTTTTTGAGATGGTCATTTTTAGTTTAAAAACTACGATGCTAATTTTATCAGTTTATTTTATTAGTTAGTTTAAATAATATATACTTAGGTATCTTACTAACAAAATTATTAGGTCATCAAACTAAATGGTAACATTAATAATGCAACTCTCAGCTAGTACACTGAAAACCCAGTCGAGTTTGAGCTGCATTTTGTAACTTTGAGAATTGTTATTATTGTTAGTATACCCATTAAGATTTTTGTTCTTTTACACTGAAAAATATACAAATTCTACTTTTCATATATTTATTTTTTACTTAACAATAAAAGCACTGTACGCATATGATTTTATATACTTTTTAAAAAAAATTTTGAACAATCAAGCGTGTAAATTAAAAAAAATTTAGTCTTGTAAAAATTAAAATTTCTAAAATATCATTATTGAAATTTTAATAATTTATAGTAATTTTAGATCCTAAATAATTCACAGAAAATATAGACATAGTTAAAATGCATTAATACATACTTTTGGGTATATATGTTTGATAATAATAATCAAAGCAAACGAAATTATATAATAATAAAATGCTTGGTCTGTCCTTCTGTCCTAACTTGAAGTTGGCCTTTTCTGATTTCACGTGTTTTTTTGAATAGTTATCTTATGACTTGTCAAATTTTGACAATTCTTTTTCTCATTTTTGAAAATTAAATCTCTTTTTTTCTCTTCAGAAAGAGTTATAATTAAAAATTATTAAATTTCAACAAATTTTAGATGGAAAATTTTTAAAATAATTAAATTTTAGAAGCTTTTAATTTGAAATTTTTGAAAATAATTGAATTTTAGTTGATTTTGAATTAATATTTTGGAAAATAATTGAATTTTAATTGAAATTTTGGATAATAATTTAATTTTATGTAGTTGATTTTGGATTGTGAATTTTGATAAATAATTTTAAATTGAAATGTTTACGAATAATTGAATTTTAATTGATTTTGAATTGAAATTTTGTCGATTTTTTACAAATTCGTATTAAAATTTTTGAAAATTGTATTTTTCACTGAATTGAACTTAAAATTTTAAAAATAAATGAAATTTTGGAAAATAATTAAATTTCAATTTAAATTTTGATTAATAATTGAATTTTAATTAATATTGAATTGAAATTTTCGAAAATAATTGAATTTCAATCAAAGTTTTGAAAAATACTTGAATTTTAGTTGATTTTGAATTGAATGCTTGGAAAATAATTGAATTTTAAAAGATTTTGAATTGAAAATTTTGAAAATAATTGAAATTTTGGAAAATAAATTAATTTCAAATAATTGAAGAATTTATTAGAAATTACAGACAAAAATTGAACTTAAAAATTTTTTTTAATTGCAAAATGCTTTCAAATAATTGAATTTTCGAAGAATATTATAAAATCATTAAAAATAATTGAAGCTTTTAAATTGAAATTTTTGAAAATAATTGAATTTTAAAAGATTTTGAATTAAAGTTTTGAAAAATACATAATAGAATTTTAGTTGATTTTGAATTTAAAATGTTAAAAATAACTCAATTTTAGTTGATTTTGAATTGAAAATCTTGAAAATAATTGAATTTTATTTTGAATGGAAAACTTGGTAAATAATTAAATTTTAAATTGAAAATTTTGGATAATTATTGGATTTTTAATTGATTTTGAATTAAAATTTTGGGTAATAATTGAATTTTAGTTTATTTTGAATTGAAATTTTTAAAAAATAATTCAATTTTTTTGTGATATTTTTTTTTAAATTATAAACAATTGTTAAATCTCATAAAAATTTTAATTGAAAACTAATTTTGATATAATTGAATTTATGATGTATTTCATTAAAATTATTAAAAATAATTAATTTAGTGAAGAATCAATTTAGTTCAAAATTTGTTAAATAATTGAATTGAAGAAGATATGAAGAAGATCTACATTTTATACTAAAAAAATGTATTTTATTTACATTTTTTTCAAATGTAAAAAAAAATGTCGCATTTTATTACAATAAGTCGATAAAAGTCGTATTTTTGAAAAAAGTCGAAAAAAGTCATATAATCCGAGGCTTGTAAACATATAATTTTCAATATTATTATTTAATATGTAATAATATTCTAATAAATTAAATTATTATTGATAATATTAATCTTTAATTTCTTTATAACAAACAATTAAATACTCAATTTGTCGCGCTTGCGCACGTTTAATTTTGCTAGTTATATATAAATAGCTAAGAGTTAATTGGCATTTGTTTTAAATATATATGCATTTCAAACTTAAAAACTATTTTTATTTGTTCTTAATGTTTTAATGAAAACATAAAATGAGCATAATAATATAGTAATTATACACAGTCTAGGAATATTTATCATAAAGTTTATCTAAAAATTTGATTTGTGTTCTGTATATGGTTTTGAGTCAACAGTTGCTATTTTGCAATAACTATATACAATTCGTTCGAACAGGCTAAATAAAATTCCGAGACCAAACTAAATATTTTTTTTATACAGCGATCAAATATAACCTATATATTGTCATGGCATTTTATTAGCGAATTAAATATACTTAACGAATTTTATTCTTTAAATGAAAAAATGATATTTTCAAGAGGTTATAATAAATTTGAAAAATGAGAAAAGAACCTATAAAGTAAAATTTATATATTCAATCAATGAATTATACTAAATTTGTCGTATATTTTAATGTATAAAACCAATAATGCTTACCTGCAGAGAAAATAACTGATGCCATACATTGCTTTTCTGAACAGCCACATTGAACTTTGTATTTCGTATTTTTCGGATTATCTTTTTTGTAACGCGGAATAGCAGAAGCCGGTACATTTTCTGTCAATGAGGAGAAGTTTTTACACTTACTCGTAAACTTTATGTGAAGAA